GAGATTTTTTGCTTCTATCTTCAAGGATCTCCTCCACTGACCTGCCTGCACGAACTCCATCCCCTCCATTTTCCCTCCCATCTTAGTTCCTCACCCTCTCACCCTCCAACATTCCAACATCAATTGTAAAGTTGTAAAATAGCCATTAGCAGAACTGTTTTGATACCAAATGGATCTTACCAGAAAAACCTTTTCAAACGGATGTCCCCACAATCTCTTGTTTTAGAAGGCCCATAGTTGTGACCTATCTAAGAGCATTTCATTTCTTTTTTCCAGCATTTTATGGTCATAGATAACTCCCCCCCCCCCTTCTTATTCTAGAGAATGGTCCATCACCACCTACAAGTGATCCTCTTCCACCCACTTCTGATCATATAAAACCCTTTGTTCCTACATGGCTACATCTATGATTCCTTTCGTAGATCCAAAATATTTCTTGTCCTCCAAATCTTTTTAGTTTACTGTCATCTCATGGGGCAATGATTGCTACCCATAATTTTAGCGAGGGAAAGGGGAACCAACTTCAAATGGGTGAGAAGGACAATAAATGGAATGGCAGATCTTTTAGCCAAACCAGGGACTAATAGTGACAATCGTTTTGGGCTACGTTGTAATTTGAATTAACACCTATTGGGGTCCTCACACCTAAGTTAGGGGTGCCCGGTGTTGGCACCCAATTTTTGCTCGGCCCCTTTCACCCTACCTCTTTGTACCCCCCTCTTAGACTCCAAAAACTTAGAAACACAACCAGGTTGACTTGATACTATCTAAAACCCGAAATACCCCCCTTTGACGCAATTCATAGGACAAATAAGAACTTTGATCAGACACCATCCCCAGACTTGAAAAACTACAACTTAGTTACACAACTTTTCATGACTAAACTACAAAGATCCACTGTTCATCACGCCAATTTCCTTTCTAACGGCCCCGATCCATGCAATATTCAAACTCCAACTCCCCAAAATCAAATCGTTTACAATTTCTTTTTGACTGAGAATAGAGGTAGAGAGGCGAGAGTCTTAGGGAAATCAGTACCTAAGACCCGATAACATCGCCTCAAAATCGGTCTTAGGAGAAGTTTAAAGCATGTTCCTCCAGATTTAAGAAATTTATACAACCATTTATGTTGTTCTACAAAAGAAATTGAATCTGAACAACTCCCGTATAGGCCTGTTATAGCAGCTTGGAGAGAGGGGTGCCTAATACTGTCCCTCTCCCAATCCTTGGGACCCAGAATATCTCGATTGTGTGCTTTCTCCATGGAAAACGGAGTCACTATCAAAGATTTAGATTTTGTATCTAAAAGTGATGGCCCATTTCCTCTAAAAATGAGTGGTGACTCCATCTTTTTTGAACTGGCCATGAGCTTCCCGGAGCTCACACCCGCTTATTAAAATCGTCAAACTATTTGAAATCATCAAACAAAGTTGATGTTTCCAATAAAAAATATGTCCGAACTACTACTACCAAAAGTACAATTAGAAGCCCAGTTAGAAAGTTCGTATAGGTGAATAAAATCAATTTTCTTCAATCTGTAAAAGGACGGGGACTTTGAAGTTACGTACAAAACCAAAGAGAAGCAATAAAAGCATCAATTAAAAAGATGTGAAACACCATCAATTACAAAAGTCAAAATGACAGGTATAGAGGGTAATAAAAGCAACACAAGAACAAAAGCAACTCAAAGTAAAATCCTAGCTCCAAATGAAACTGAAATAAATCAAATTAACAACAGCATTCAAGAAAACGAATGAGAACAGACGGAACTCTGACACGAACAGTGAGAGAAAACCAAAATAGAAAAAAATAATAAAAAAAGGCCAGGATTACCAGCCATGACGAAATCGGTATATGCATTCTCCTCTTTAAGGTAAGAGATGACCTCCGGATTGGACCGAGAATCATCCCGAAGCCAGTAATAGTTATCGATCCTCGCGTCTCCGAACATATCCATCTCGTGCCTTACCTTCTTAGCTACTGGAGGAGCTTTCATGATCATGGCTGCTGCTTTGGCAGAGACGGAGTTTCCGGTCTTAGGGTTTACAGAAGCAGAGGCGGAGTAAGGACGCAAAGAAGCCAGCAGTGGACCGGAGAGCAGGAGGAGGTAGGCAAGTCCGCCGAGGCCGAATCGTAGGCGAAACATTCTGTTTTTTAAATATAAAATATATATTCCGCGTTTAGTTTCGGAGATTAAGGGTAGGAGATTCGAAGCCGATACCTCCGTCTGGGTTTTGTAACGGAAACACTGAGCTGGTTCCACACTTGCACGAATTCGGGGTCTTTCGGCTTCCGATTTGTGGTCCCCACAGGATAGGAAAGAGTATGGATTCAGTCCTCACGCCGTTTTAATCGTGCATCGAGATTTTATTCATGGGAGATATTCCCAATATACATCTGCAAATGGCTGGCTGTAAGCTCCGTGTGAACGGTTCTGTAATGACTGAATCCGAATTCGAGTAAAAAATGGTTACTGTCCGGGTCAATACTTCTGGACAATTAGGCTAAGGTGGCGTTTGTCAAAATTTTCTGTGCAGTTTTTTAGGTTTCAACAAATTCGAAAGACCAATCAGTCTTTTTGGTTTAGATTCTTAAGATTTGAATTGTTGAGAATAAGGATGACATGGCCTAAGATAGGCCAAATTTATGATAAGTTGGCTTAATGGGAGGGATGAAAAGGAGAAAGGAATCTAATTATTTCAAAAATGACATGGAATAAAATTGGTTCAATCCTCATAAATAAAATCTCGATGCATGGCTGAAAACTTATGAGGTTTGGATTGGTAAATTTGAGTATTAACATTAATTTGATTCAAAGCTAAGATCCATGTTTAGGTTTGATCTCAAAAGAGATTTGGAAATATTTAAAAAGAAATAAGGCTCCATTTGGGAAGAGTACGAGTACAAATATGTTCAGTGCTGGTGCAAATACAAATATATAAAGGCTCATGAAAATGACAACATTTGTATATTGGACATATTTATATTTGCACTCTTCCCAAATAGAGACTAAGGCATTGGAGATCCTGTTGAATAGGAAGAAAAGAATTATGGCTGGAGATCTTTATTCATTACACCTTACGAAGAAAACACAAGGGCACTCATGTGCCCCTATTAGGTAAAGGCCTGAGGGCCTTCATTTGCACCAAACAAGCAATGGAACCGCTCAATCTAGCGTGCTAACATGTGCAATAGTTTTTTAGCTCAGATTAAAGTAGGAAATTCTCCATCCGCCTACTAGCAGCAGCAGAGGAGGTTTGTTTCATGTTATACACAATGTGGTGAAAAAGACTAGTAAAACAAAATATACCTTGCCTAATTGTTGTCCACTTCTAGGAAATTTTGGAATAGAGAATTTACAATAATACTACGTCGCATTCTTGAAGATTGAGGAACAATAAGAGACCTATTAAGAGAAAGGTTTATCCAAGAGAAAATCTTAACAGTTACATCCAATCACAAACTACACGAAAGTTGCCCCTTTTTTCATAGGGATTTTACCCATCACAAAGATGCACAAAGGAACATAATGAATATATCCCTTTTTCTACTCAATCTAGAAACAAGATCAGACATTATTCTACTCCATCTCCATTTTCATAAACTATTCCTCAAGCAAGGCAGCCGATAAGTCATCGAAGGGTTTGTGTGAATAATGGAATGGTAAGCATTACTCATTTGAAAGTGTCCCACGGTGATCTAATATCTTTTCAAGAAAATGACACGAGAACCCATGGTGAAGAAATAATGAGATCTTTCTATATTGACATATCAATTGAAAAAAAAAAAAAAAAACATAGGCATTGGACATCATCTATGCAACTTCATATAAGTCATGGAAAAACAAGAGAGAAAATTATATTCTTAGAGATCATACTTTACATATCTGAAAAATATCAAGAAGATTAAACCCTTAGATGTTAAGGCCATGTTTGGTTCGCTGTTGTTGGCCTCATTCTTTTAATTCTTGTTGATAAAGAATGGGCAAGAATGAATGAGATGTAGGTGTTCTCATTCTTCACATAATGAAATTTCGGTCTCAGCAAAAAAATTAACCTATTTTGTAGCACGAAAATTTTTTGTGCTCCATTTTACTAGTCCATTCATTTTGTTCGAAGTGTTTAAAACTAGAGTCCTCGACTAACCCATTGTCCCCCCCCCCCCTCTCTGTATAAGGTAAAATCGATATGCTAAGATCCATCTCTCTTCTTCTTCTTTTTCTTCTTGGTCTTCTTCTTCTTCTTTATGTGCATAGAGCACGAAGCTAACGGTGAAGATAATACCTTCTTCTTCTTCTTCTTCTTCTTCTTCTTCTTGCTCTGTTTTTTCCCTTTTCCTAGGTCGACCACCAATCTCGGCCCTATAACCATTAAGAGCAAGCAGAAGAAGGTATTTGATCAATCCTTGTCTTTTCAATTTTTTCTTTATTGGTATTTGTGTATTAGATCATTCTAGAGTTTTTTCCTATCTGGTCAAAAGGGGCATCAATTAAGCAAGCCCCTTTTGATTTTCTTATGGGATATCCATGTTCTACTATTTGGTTTTTGAGTTGATAACAAACATTATGAAGAACTTGACCAAGTAGTCATTATGATTTCCTAATCTGGTCACATGCCTATTATTGATTTGTTTTTTATTTTATTGTTTTTATTTGTTGATTAGGAAAATTTTATTGTTTTTATTCTATTATTTATATTCTGCAAAAAATTATCCAAAATTAATCCTCATCAAATCTAGTTTGGTAACTATGTACTTATTAATGTCAAGCTAAACTTATTCATTTTGGTGCAGAAATCATGTTAGAACAAGGGCTCACCCGCTGGTTTCTTTTGCATCTTTCTCCATCATGGTTATCATTTTTATATGTCATCTTTATAGATGTGACGATTTCTGGTCACGTATCATTTTTTTTTGCTAAGTACCTCGTCTGCTCCCAAGTGGTTGATGACTCAGGGGCTGAAGTGGAGCTCCCTAGGGTAGTGCAACCCGGCTGCTCCCGAGCAGAAGGTGATCTGACTACCAGCAACGACGGGAACTGAACCGGCTACTTCCTGCTGGAGATGATCTAGCTACCAGGAACGACGGGAAGTGAACCGGCTACTCCCCTGCTGAATGGTTCGCCCCCTCCTCCCTTTTATAGCCTTAAAGAGAGCTTCTAATCTCATTAGGATTTTCCTAATCCAAATCTGTATTTGGATTATGAGTTCTCTTTAAGTGCTCAAACTGCTTCCAACCTGCTGCCCAGTTGGACTTCTTTGTATGGCGTGGGACCCAAACATTGATCAACACATTAGCCACAAGGGTTCAGTCCAGCATCTGTTACAAGGCCTGGCCGAATTCACTGAAAAGACAGTGAACCCCCTGAAGCCCATCACATGGACTCCTAATGGGCCCAACACTTACACTAAGTGGTCTCTGGGTCAAGCCGCCTTATAAAAATCAAGGACTGTGGGCAGATGCAAGATTAGCCCATCAGGTATTATCCTCAATGGTCTTATACTTAACCTCTCAGCCCATAATGACCATACACTGCCCGACAAGAGAGGACCTCTCCCTCGGCTGCAAGGAACAATGCTGCACTCTCTACTCATATGGATCCCGGGAATTAAAACCTTTTGCAAACATTTTTGAAACCATAATATATATTTATATCTGTATATAAAATATATTTTGCAAAACAAATTTCAACGATTGAAGTCGACTGCCGGCAGTCTTGTCCGACAAAGGGGTTGATCCTGTCACTATGATCACCCACTCAGATGAATTCTCGAACTATCCCAACATACCCAGGTTTTTGACCTTCGCTAAGGATCTCACTAATTGGCATATCAAAGACAGCCCAATCCGACACCTAGTGCAGTATCATAATCGAGTCTATGGGTCATGTGCAACTTTCTGGTTTTGCCCACTAATCACCAAGGTCCAGGGCAATACTGGAAATCTGGTGCGGTTCAGGGTTTCAAATAAACCTTCACTGCATGTACCTCAGGTCTCACCTTGGCAGCTAAGACAGGCCACCCCAACACTTGGCAGCACATCAGTGTCAGCCTTAGCAGGATAAATCTCCCCAAACTTATCCAATGACTGTGAACATTCTAAACTAACACGAGTCTCATAAGTGTCCAGTTTAAGGGTATTACACAGAAACACACCAATATAACATGAATCAAATATGTACTTTATTCATTTACAAGAAATGTCATAATGTACATCAATCTGATTGGAGCTAAGGGCATACACTGTCTAACAACAACCACTTGCACTTATGTCTTATCTGGTATAAGCCGGAGTCCCAGACTTTCCACGTGTTTCTCAAATACTTTCTGTGTGAGTGGCTTAGTCTATGGGTCTGCCACATTCTCCGCTGATGCTACCTTTCAACATCAATCTCCCGTAGATCCAGCGTTATCACACAACAGTGGAATGGGTGATGTGCGGAATTCCAAATTCCAGAATAAACACCTTCATTCATAAAGCAGCCTCACTTACGGCAATGTGTTCGACTTGGGTTGTGGACTGTTATTCTTACTACTTAGGACCCCTGTTTGCTGACTTTTAGCAAAACAGCACACGATCTTATCGTGAAAACATACCCAGATGTAGACTTTCTATCATCTGGATCCGACTGGAATGGCATCAGTATACCCCTGGATCTGTAGTGAGCTACCATCGAATACCAGACAAAACTCTTTTGTCCTTCGAATGTACTTAAGTATATTTTTCACAGCAGTCTAATGCTCCTGCCCTGGGTTGGCCTGGAATCTGCTTACCACACTCACTGCCTGAGCAATGTCAAGACGAGTGCACAACATGGCATACACGATGCTCCCTACGACCGAGGCATAGGGAACGTCCTTCATGCCCTCAATCTCCTTAGAAGTCTTGGGAGACATCTTCTTGGAGAGAGTGACTCTGTGCCTGAAAGGAACATTTCCCTTATTGGAGTGCTCCATGTTGAATCTCTTGATAATTTTGTCAATATAAGCAGATTGGGATAATCCTATTATCCGCTTCGATCTATCTCTATAGAGTCAAAGACCCAGTATATAGGAGGCTTCTCCAAGATCTTTCATGGAGAATTGCTGTGAAAGCCATATTTTCACCATAATCAACATTCCTATGTCATTCCCAATGAGTTGAATGTCGTCTACATACAGAACT